AATAGCACCAGGCTCTGGAGAGTTGCAAGAAAGGAATTGTTAGAGAACACTGGGAAGAGTCAGTGTGAGGTGGCTTGCAGTATTAAAATAGCATAGGTGACATTTCAGTTGAAATAGCTGCTCTTCTGTGCATCTTGGTGGTAACTTTTCTTCAGAAATAAGGTTAATGTAACAGTGCAATGCTTTCCCATTCTGAGATTGCAATTACCATTCTAGTAGAGGCTGGATTGTCATCTTGATGGAGTGCTCTAAAAAGCCATTTAGTGAGAAGCCTGAATGTACAAGTTGAAACCTCTTCGAGTTTTGTACAACTTCAAAGCCTTGGGTTTAGTCAGAGTATCCTTTGATAGAATAATCTTTTGCCCAAGGGGTGTCTGTAGCAGTACATGACATCCATAATCTATGATTTGTGTGCCTCCAACATGAAGCAGACTAAACTGCTGTCAAGTGTGCTGACCAAAGATGTTGGTATCTGTAAGGCCAGTGCTAAAACTGCCTTCAAGCTTTGTACCAGCCTAAAAGCTGTCCTCATGTTGTACTGTGGACTTAGCAGGTGTCTGCTCATGGTAGTCTAGTGACAGGTCCATGTGTAGGATGCCACTGGGAATTATTAGATGTCTTGGTAGGTATGGAATCATAAAATAAGGGAATTGTTTCGTCTGGAGCAGAGCTCTGAGATCAAATCTGACCATTAATCCAGCACTGACAAGGGCACCACTAACCCATGTCCCCAAGTGCCACATCCACACGTCTGTTAAACCCCTCCAGGGATGTGACTCCACCACTGCCCTGGGCAGCTGTGCCAGTGCCTGACCACCCTTTCCATGAAGACATTTTCCCCAATATCCAATCTGAACAACCCCTGCCTGTGATCACTGCAGGACTCATGAAGATGCACGTCTCCCCTCCTTCACAGCAGTGAATGAACTGCAGTTTGTGCCCTTGGGAGAACTGGGATGTGTCCCCACTTGCAGATTCCTGCAGTGTGGTGTTACCCTGGCCCGTGGCTGGATGGATTCCAATGGAAGTCTGCTCTTAGGGAAGCTGCTCTCAGGGCTTCTGACTGAAGTATGTTTATGCTGCTCAGCCTTATGGTAAAGCAAGTCCAAACCACTTTCTGCTGGCATCTAGGAAAAGGAGTATTGGAACACTGTTAGAACATGGGACAGTGATTGCAGCAAAGCTGTTGGATTACTGACCACTGGCTTTCCTGTTTTGACAGATGTGAAAAAGGAGTCATGTCACTAGTTAATGTCAGGAACTGCATCCGTTTCTACCAGACTGCTGAGGAGCTGAGTGCCAGCACCCTCCTGAACTACTGTGCAGAGATCATTGCCAGTCACTGGGTGAGTCCTGGCAGGAGGAAACCAGAGCAAAAATGCTTGCACAGTATAGGAACTTAATCAGGAGAATTTTGCTTAACTTACTGCAGTGTCTAACCTCAGGAGTATCTCTTGGTTACAAGCATTCCAGTTGGGATGGGGATTTCGTGGATTCCTGATAACTTGCAGTGAGTAAGGTGACCTGTTATACTGACAGCAGTGTTGATGAAAAGCTGAGCCCTAGTGTGAGTTCTGGGGCTGCTTCTGAGGCAGGGTGACTTTTCCCTTCCCAACTGTCCTGATTATCTTTGCAACATGTACTTTTGCCACTGTGTTGTTTGGGGTTCTTTACAATTATATGTTTGAAGCAAAGAACATTAAAGTGGCTCCTTTGAGAGATTTTAATTGTCTTTAGAGGTTGTATCTGTTGTCTGTGTGGTGTGAATGTCTTGGAGGGGAGTAGCTCATAACCTGAAGAGTTGTTCTGTTCCTTGGAACTATTTCACTGTACAAAGTGTCTCAGTTTCCTGAGCCAAAGAAAAGGGACTGTTCTAATAAGCAGGAGGGTTGTTTATCAAATCTGGACTCCAAACTGTTTAGAAGTTCATCCATAGTTGGTCTCTGTCTATACAGGTCACAAATCCCAGACCTGCTTTTACTTCTATAAATAATTCATGGAAGCCAGGGAAGTTATCTTCAGTAATGGAGGGAGAGACAAATGGTCTTGCAACCAACTTGGAACTTTCACTTGCTCTGATCTCTTTATTTTGAAGAAAGTTTGATTAACTAAGTAGTGGATTGGCCTTTTCAATAAGGCTTGTCAACAGCAGACTTGTGTGTGGGGATTTAGATTATTCTAAACCTAAAATGCATCATCCAGATGTGGATGTTTCTTTCTTTGACTGATACTAAGGCACAAGCTTTGATATGTTAATGCATAAAAAAAGATTATTGTATCTGAACCTGTGGGTCAGCACTTTTAACTGTTGACCCTTTCTGGTTCCTAACTTTTCATGCTTAATTCTACCTGAAAATGAGGTGGTTTCTGTTTAGTCAAATGAGCACTAACTCATTTAGGTCTTTATACCCCTAAGTTTCTGTTTACTTTTGTTGATAATTTTATGAAGTTCTGAGGAGTTGTCAGTTTTCAAGAGTTGTAGGCCTTTTTTTGTCAGAATTAAGAATAAGCCCAGATAGAGGATTGTTTTTAAGCTTAGATGTTAATCTACCATGATGTCTGCTGCAATGCTGGTTTTCCATGTCTGTAGACAGAAAGGAAGAAAAATTGCACTAAGTGATCTTGAAACTAAAATGTAAGATTTAAAACTTCCTGATTAAATCTTAAAAGGTTATCTTGGATTGTTCCTGCCAAAACGTTGCCAAAATGGGACTTTTCACTGAGCTTGTTTTGTGAACTTCAGAATTCCATTGTGCAATGCCTTGTCTATAAATAAAACAGGAGTGTTGCTTACCCTTCTCTTTAATTGCTCCCAGGATGACCTGCGTAAGGAAGATTTCAGCAGCATGAGTGCCCAGTTACTGTACAAAATGTTCAAGTCCAAGACAGAATATCCTCTGCATAAGGCTATTAAAGTGGAGAGAGAAGATGTGGTCTTTTTGTATCTAATAGAAATGGATTCACAGGTGAGACTGAGTTGATCTGTCTCCTAGAATTTGGTGTTTCAGGTAACTGGCTTTGAACTCCCAGTCTGAACCTTGTTACTGATTTTTCTCACTAATTCTTAACTTGCATGTTTAATATTGCCACAGCTACTTCTGTGCACGTCATGGAGGTCTAGCAACAGAGGCTCCATGAAGACATAATTCAGAAGTGATTCATAACATTTCTGAAACACCCTGCATACAACAGACTGTGTGTAATAAAATCCCTTATCTGATATTACCATGTACATTTAAAACAGAATGGTATAATAGTCAACTTTGCTGCTTTATGGCAGTTCAGTAAGAATCATTTCTTGGAACAGATGCTTTCCCTCTTCTGTTGAAGGCTTGAAGTAACAGGTGTTTGTTCTGTTTGGGTGAAAACTCTAAGTAACTAGCAAATAAGATATCCCCCAACAAGGAATAATGTAGAATTCAAGTATTAATTATCAAGAATTATTCAATTAGTACTTTAAGTTGCCTCAAATCTTAATTGGAAGCTGGGACTTTGCTGGTATGTAACACCCCTAGGTGCTAATCCAGGTGGGATTTGAGGTATCTTAAAGGAATAACTGAATGATTCTTCCTACATGGAATATGCCTATCTGGTGACATGTTTGAGTGCACTAGTCCTGCTTTCTGTGAGTTGGACAAGGCTTCCAAACACAGCTCCTGATTTGTCATGGAACAGCCCTCTGGGCAGCTTTGCCTGTGGTGCAGTGACTGTCCCTGGGCAGGGTGCCCTCACCAAAACACACCACCAGGATTCTGCACTGGAGCTGGAGGGCTGACTGTGCTGATCATGGAGTGGGCTGTTAAAACACTCAGTTGGGCTGGTGAGCCTGTCTCTAGTGTCAGTGCACCGTGTTTGTGTTGCAGCTTCCTGGGAAGCTCAATGAATTGGATCACAATGGAGACCTTGCTCTGGATCTGGCCCTGGCCCAAAGGCTGGAGGGCATTGCCACTACCCTGGTCAACCACAAGGCTGACGTGGACAGGGCAGACACGAGAGGCTGGAGTCTGCTGCACAAAGCCATCCAGAGGGGTAAGGACATGGGATATGAAGCTTTATTAACTTCCAGTTGTTCCCAGCGTGACTCCTAAGTCTGTTCCTGTGTCACATTGTAGTTGTCACTTCAGTTAGAAGATTGTAGTGAAGGATAGACTTTGTCCTGTTTCTTTTTTTTTTTTTTTAAACTCAAAAGCAAACAGACTCTTCTTTGGATCTGAGACCAGGCTGCTGGCTGGGGAAACTTGTGCCACTTGCCATCCAGGTGCAAACCAGTAGAACACTGCCTGCTAAAGGAAGAAATGTAGGGAGACACTGGGAATATTCTAATTTGACAATACCATGTCTGTGTGACAAATAGTTGAATTGAGTGTGACAGCATGAGAGTCACAAAGATGAAATCTTTTTCTAGACTTGGACCATATGCTTCTTTGTGCTGGTTAACAGCAAGGGGCTGTGCTACTGCACAGCAGTCCTAGAGGAGGAAAATGTGACTGAAAGAAGATGAGGAGCAAGTGGAGGTGCCTCTGTCCAGTCTGAATATTTTCAAAGCTCTGCTGAATAGTAGTGTAGTTACCACTGGAGTCTGAGTACAACGACAGGGTTATGTTGAGCTGATCTCCACCTTAGAGTGGGAAATGCATCTGATGAGAACTGGAGCACAGCAGGACCTGGTTGCCATGGCCACAGCACTCTGAAGGCTTTGGATCAGCAGCATCTTGGCCTGTGGTCAAAGTGTGGGAAAAATCTGCAGTGAACACCTCGTGCTGCTGGTTTCCTGCAATGTCTTTGGCAGCTCTGCTCCAGAAAGCCAAGCATGAGTTTATTTTTAACAGCAAACTCTCTGGGACTCCTAGAAGTTATTTTGGGCTCAAAAAACTTAAACTCAGCTCCCAACTTCTTCTTTTAATCTCCTACACATCTAAACAGGGTAAAGCTGGTGGCTGATCCTGTGAATGAAACTTGAGCAGGAGTAGGAGACCTTCTAGGCATAGGTCAGTGTGGTGGTGGCTGCAGGCCTGTAGAGCACTGCAAAGGTTGCAGCAAATGCTGGCATTTGTCTTCTGGTTGTGCTGTCTGCTTTCAGTCTGAGCTAGGGCTCTGAGAATGAATGCTTGCTTCTCAGTAACCACAGCTTCAGTGAATCAATCACTGTTAACAATCTTATGTTCTGGAAATGGAGCTAAAGCAAATTGTCTGAACTTGCCACGTGATTCTTATCACTTCTGATCGCTGGAGAGTGGGGCAATGTCAGACATGGGAATCAGAAAATGGGATTTGGGGTTTCGTTGGCAGAGATAATACAGCAATATAGATTGGAACCCTGTTCTTTGTTCTCCAGTCGTGCATTCAGGCCTAACAAGGTGTGACTGTGTCTGTTCAAGGTAGTCTTTGGAGTGAGGGTGGTTAATATGAAATATGACCCTGAGGCCATTGTTTGCACCCTGGTGGTTCGAGTCCAAGCTTCCATGTGTCTCAGTGGGCCTGAGCTCTGACTCCTGAGAAGCTCTCAAGAGGGAGTTCTTGGGAATGCTGTGCATGGTGGGTTTGAACTGCTGAAGGCCTTATCCTATATATAATGGAGCTAAGCCTTCCAGAGCAAAGGCTGTGTTACTGCTTGTTTGTGTAGCAGCACTGAACAGGTGACTGACTTCAACTACACACTTTTGACTGATGCCCTGGAATGGCACCTTTTGTTGAAAACAATACTTGTATGTTTAGTGTCACAGTTTGTCCAGTGGTCAATTAAAGCAGCAATGGATTGTTTAGATGGAGGAACTAGCAAATTCAGTATCACAATAATAATAAACTCGTGTGTGAACTTGAGTCACCTGTGGGCAAAACACTTTTTCCAAGGGCTTGTGAAATATTTTAGTCCTGACTTTGCAGTGAAGGGTTGAAGTTGCCTATTGCTAAGGCATTGTAGGAGCAGACTCTTGTGTTGGAATGAATGTATGGTCTGAAGGGAAATCCTGTGTATCTGTTTTCTGGAGTATAAAGTACATAGGGTGTATCTATCCACAAATAATCTTGTTTTGTCTCCCAAAAGGAGATAAATTTGCTGCAAACTTTCTCATTAAGAACGGTGCCCGTGTGAATGCTGCTACACTGGGGGACCAGGAGACCCCTCTGCACCTCGTGGCATCCTACAGCCCCAAGAAGCACTCACCTGATGTCATGGCAGAGATGGCACAGATTGCAGAGTCCCTCCTGCAGGCAGGAGCCAACCCGAACATGCAGGACAACAAAGGCAGGTAAATACTGGGGGAAGCCAAGTCAGCAGTTTAACAGACTGTGCTGTGCTGATCAGGTGCTGAGAACCTGCTCAGGTCTGTCAGCAAAGCACAGCTGAGACTGGAAAGCAGGAAGGGTGAATTGGTGGAGCCAGTTGGAGACCTGTGGGCAGCACTCAGAGCAGAAAGCTGTGCAGGCTGAATGGTTCCCTGTCATGGCCAATTAAACACAGCCCCGCTACAGAAAGCTGGGGTGAGTTGATGGTGTTGGGACACATGACACACAGTTAATTTGCCTTTATTGAATCACTGAACAGTAAAGAAGGCCAGCTAAGATGCCAAATAGTATTTCTGAAAGATACTTCCCTTTGAAGCTGTCAGGGAAACTGAAATTACCTCAAAGCAAGCCAGTATGTGCAGTGTGTTCATCTGAAGTGCAGGGCCTGTTTCAGGAAGCTGTTTCACAGGTTAGGTTGGGCTGGCACACAAGTGTATAAAATAATATAGAAGACTTGGAGTATATCAGCTGTACACAAGCTGATAAACTCCAGGGCACAAGAAGCACAAAAACTGTGTGTACACAGTTCTAATAGATCAAGCTCTTGTGCTTCTTCCTTGAAAGTTGACTCTTACATTGAGTTGCTTACAGCAAATTATTTGAAAGCGTGTCCACTGGAAGAGTAGACTGCTCTTTGTTTTGAGATGTGTTTGTGCCCTTCTGAAAGCAAAGACAGAAGTTAAGCCCATAAATCTGCAGGGGCATGTTGATGACCAGGGACAAAATCAAGTGTCTCTCTTGTTCCTGATGTAACTGTACTTTTTGGCTACAATTACAGGACCCCGTTACACGTGTCCATCGTGGTCAGGAACGAGCCTGTGTTCAGTCAGCTGCTCCAGTGCAAGCAGTAAGTTCCTTTTACATGTAAAACACATTACCTTGTACAGTGAATATATGAAACCTGGTTTAACAACTCCTCTGTGCCTCTTTGCCTTATAGTAAGACCAGTAATAGGCTTGGGATGCAAAAGTGTAAGGGCTTTGCATAGCTAAACGTGCCAGAAGCCACGTGAGTTTTTGCCCTACTGTAGAGAAGCAGCAAACTGAATCTCTTGTGTTTTTCAAAGAGGATGAAATCATTTCAAAGGTTATGTAGTAACATCCATTTGTAGTGGAGCTAAAAGGAGTGATAATACTCTTGAAATGTCTCAATATGTTCTTGGGTTCTGCTTAAAGCTGCCACAGGTGACTTCTTAGGGTGGTGAAGCAGAACACTTTGCTTGACTCAGTTTCTTTGCAGTTGAATTTGCAGTTCTTGCACACAGTTTACTTAAATACAAAAAGGAGTTGCCTCTTTGCTATACTTAGTGGGAGCCCAGATCTACCAGGGCCACACTTCTCCTGGGAGCAGTAAGCTTGACTCTGGTAGTCCTAGAAGGTGCTGTGCTTTTTTCAGAGTATTCCCATATTCTCTGAGGTAACTGGAGCTACAGCAGGTTTTTTGGCAAGCAGGAGTTGTCAGTGAGGTACGAGATGAGCTAGTACAGCTGTTCAGCCTCTTGAAACTTAAGCTGAGATGGGGAACCACTTTTTAAGGTATAAACTGGGGGACACTAACTCTTATTTTTAGACTAGACTTGGAGCTGAAGGATCATGAAGGAAGCACAGCTCTGTGGCTTGCAGTTCAGTACATCACTGTGTCGTCTGATCAGTCTGTGAACCCCTTCGAGGATGCCCCTGTTGTGAATGGAACCTCCTTTGATGAGAACAGTTTTGCAGCAAGGTTGATCCAACGAGGCAGCAACACAGATGCTCCAGACACAGTGACAGGTAAACCAGAGGTTTGTATTTCTGTGTAGGTGAAAGGCTTGTAAGTTAATTGCTTAATGCTGACTGCACTCAGAGGAGCTGGATGAGGTTTCAACAGCATTTGCTGCACAGTAAATGGGAGGTGGTAGCAGCTTTACCCAGAGCTGGAGCACTGACAGCCCCAGGCTGAGCTGGACTTGCAGGAAGTGACAGAAAATCTGGACTCATTGCCAGGTTCTAATATCCTCTTTAGAGTTTCAAAATGTGTAATTGCTAAATGGTAGTGCATGTGCCAGTCCAGAGTTGCAAGGGGGCTACTAATAGGCAAGATTTTCTTTGTTGACTTCAAACTTCAGTGTCGTAAGGTAGTGGGGAAGGTGTTAGCACACTTGTTAGTATCAAAATGTGGTTGGAATAGCACTCTGACAGTGTTCCTGGTTTTTCTTTAGGAAACTGCTTGCTTCAGAGGGCAGCTGGTGCAGGAAATGAGGCAGCTTCTCTCTTCCTAGCAACTCATGGAGCAAAAGTCAACCACCAAAACAAACGGGTAAAAGCAGAAACTTAGACTGAAAGTTTCCTGATTGCTCTTCAGAAATAAGCCAGCAGAGATCTCTCATTGCTAAACTGTAGCTTAAAGCAAGTTGGAGCACTTTGTGAACCTTTGCATGTTTTCAGGTATTTACTGGTGATCAGACCCCTTCTTGTGGCACTGTTCTTGCAGCATCAGCAGTTGTTAACATGCTTCTAACACCTCCCTCAGTGCCTGGTGTGATAGGTCTTAATAAAAGCTGACTTAAGTAGTTTGTAAGTCCTAAGGAGCTTCAGCTACTAGGAGTGAAGCTCTTCACACCCGTTCTTGTGGGAATAGTAGTTTAAAAGCTGCTTCTCTGCATGTCTCCAGCTGTTAACCCAGCACCCTGTTTATTAAAGGGAGAAACCCCCCTGCACACAGCCTGCAGGCACGGCCTGGCAAACCTGACAGCAGAACTCCTGCAGCAAGGAGCCAATCCCAACATCCAGACAGCAGAAGCAGTGCTTGGGCAGAAGGATGCATCTGCTCCTCCAACAGCAGAGAATGTTTATCTGCAAACTCCCCTCCACATGGCCATTGCTTACAATCACCCAGATGTGGTGTCAGTCATCCTGGAACAAAAAGGTAGGTGTTTCCTGGTTCAGACTGTTGGTGCTGTAGGGAATTGGTGTGTCAAGATGGCACCTGAGCTGTGTTTGACAAACTGTAAGCATTTTTAAAGTAGAGCAGTTAATAAGACAGGCTAAATATAGTCTTAAATCATCTGCTTGTTAAGACTAGAAAATTATTTTGCCTGTGAGTGCCTGTAAATTCTCCACTGTAGATAATGGACTTGAACAGTTAATCCTGGGTTCTGTTCTACTTGTACAACTGAGATCCCTTCAAAGCATTTGCTTCAGGTAAATGCTGGAATAAAATTTGGGTAAAGGCACCTTTGTGGTGAGATTTCTGCCTCCCTTAACTCTTACTAAGAGGATTTTGTACGAGGTAATGCTGGAGTTACAACAGGATTGAAACTTGAGTACTCAAATACTGGCAGATGAGTTTATCAAATGCTGCTAGTTCAGCTTCTTTCTAGCAGCAGGAGGGGAGATTGACAGCTGAAGGAAGGCCAGCTTTGTCTCCTACCATAAGTGAGATTTAGAAGGGAGTAGGTGAATTGGGGTAAATATCATCCATCCCAGGGAGCTGAGGAGGAGGGATGCTGCCACCACACTCTGGTACAGCCTCCACTCTTCATTCTCAAAGCTTTGTATATGCCTCTGTATTTGGAATTGCAGGTAGAAAGGGACAGGTTAAGCCTCTTAGCTAGAGAATTGAATGTTCTTTAGTGTAAGTATTAAGATTAGGCAGTAGTGGAAATACTGTCTGAATCCTAAGCAGTATCAGATCAGGGAAGCTGAAGGTATCTTGCTCAGATCTTTCAAACTGACTGCTAAAGGAACAGCCCACTTCAAAATGTAACACTGCTGCTGCAGCAGCTTTCAGTGTGTGACTGCAGGTCAAGTACAAGAATGTTTTAATTCCTGTTGCTTTTTTGTAGCTAATGCTCTTCATGCCACCAACAACTTGCAAATTATTCCTGACTTCAGTCTGAAGGACTCAAGAGACCAGACTGTGCTGGGATTGGCTCTTTGGACAGGTATGGACCCTCCACACAAGATGAGAATTCACAACAATATGGAAGCTGTGCTGTGAACAGGAGTTTTTTTTAAAGATAAAACAGCAGGTGTGTGTTCATGTTCTGGCTTGTGCTGCTGGAGAGGAGCTGTCAAGGAGAGCTTTAGATGATTCTTCATCTTCTAGAAATGAGTGCTCACCTATGACTTAGTGAAAGATTTCTAGCCCACAGCTGTACTCGCAGTTCTGGGGAATTCTTCCTCTGTGAACTCCCTGCTTATTTTCCTATCAGATCACTGTATTGTCTGAGCATGTTAACCCTGTTCTGTTAGTCCTCAGTGCATCTGCTTTATAGACCCAAAAGTAAAATACTAATGAGCTTGACCTCCTCAGGCATGCACACCATAGCAGCTCAGCTGCTGGGATCTGGGGCCTCCATCAATGACACCATGTCAGATGGACAGACTCTGCTGCACATGGCAATCCAGAGGCAGGACAGCAAGAGTGCCCTCTTCCTGCTGGAACATCAGGCAGATATAAATGTCAGGTAAGATCCTAACTGATCCAACACTCAACTGCACGTGTGTCTAGAGCAGGTGGTGATGAATGCCTTTGCTTGAAGTTGGTTTCAGACTGTGATCTGTGCACAGTTACGTGTTTGGCACTGTTTTATGGCACTACAGCTGAGGGGTTACATGTGTGAACTTGGACCTGTGTGTAGCTCCGTTGGTCAGTACCTCCTCTAGTGGCTGCAGAAGGAGGTGCCACTTAATTCTAAGTGAGACAGAATCCTCTGTAACAGACTCAAGTCCCAGAGAGAGGCCTGGAGGCACTGAACTTCCACGTGCCAGCTTGTTGGAGCTGCGTGTTTGCCACCATCCGAAACAATTAGATGTAGGTCCAGCAACAAGATTCCAATAGAACTTGCCTCCTGAGTATCTCCTAGACAACTTGATATTAGACTTAACAGAACATTTGTCTGCTTACATGACTGACAGGCTGGCTGTGAAAGTTGGCAAGCTATATACTGTCATGAATGTCACGGGTACAAACTGCCTAATGCTGCTGTTCTAACTTCAGGCTTTTAACAGTTGGTATTTGACTGTTGCTTGAAGTGTTGCCACGTTGCAGACAAAGCTGTTCTCTGCTGTGGCAGCAGGCTGGCTCTGAAGGAACTTGTTCAAATAATGGCTGCACTGAAGGCAGTGAGTGTCTCTGAGCTAAGAACACTCACTTTTCCAACTTAACAAAATCAATCACTTGCTACTAAAGGGGGGAGGAAAGGTAAATACAAAGCTGTGATGAAATATGAGCGTGGTGTGTTTGCTTGGCTGGAGAGAAATGACCTTACCACAGCAGAAATACACACGTGAGGAGGGGATTTTTGGCTTTCTCAGTAAACTACTGTAGTAACACACTTGGAACTGTCCCTGCTGCAGGACACAGGACGGAGAGACAGCCCTGCAGTTGGCCATCAAAAACCAGCTCCCTCTTGTGGTGGATGCCATTTGTACCAGGGGAGCAGACATGTCCGTGCCAGATGAGAAAGGAAATCCTCCCCTGTGGCTTGCCTTGGAAAACAACCTGGAAGATATTGCATCAACTCTGGTAAGACTGTCAGTTGGCTTAATGTAGTCTCAGTTTTGTGCACCTTGCTAGCAACAAAAGAGGTTATCAGCAAAACCAAACTCAGTGCATGACAAGAACAGAGTGGTCCAATATCACTAATTTTAGAGGGTTTTTTTCACCAGAGGTCCCCCTCTTTTGTGCAGAAATCTTTTATAAATACAGCCAAATTTCTTGCAACCACTGTAATAAAATACTATAGAATGTACTATCTAGATCCTGGAGGGAGTAAAGATCCACTGAAAGCATCAGTCCATGGCATACCAGGCTTGTGTAATGATCAGCTTCCTGAATAAAACTGAACATGCCTGTGTGTTAGTGCTAGTTCTTATTGCATCTTAAAGTTGTATCAAGAAGGCCTTTAAAGGCTTATATTTACTTTAAAGGTAAATTTATTTTCTGGCACAGGTGATCCAAGAGGAGATTTCTTAGGAGACTGAAGTAGACCTCCTTCTGTCTTCTTCATAAGGAAGTTACTTGAGAGTTTTTGTC